AGAGAGAGAGAGAGAGAGAGAGAGAGAGAGAGAGAGAGAGAGAGAGAGAGAGAGAGAGAGAGAGAGAGAGAGAGAGAGAATCTCCTGATATGGAGAATGGCATGACTCTGGTTGATAAGAACGGTGTGAAGATCATGAAGAATGAAGACCACGCGTGTGGGTTGGAGGGATGGACTTGCTTTATGGAGGTTGTTTGGTCAGCCCGAAACGCAAGAGCTTTCAGATGCATAATAATATACTCTTTCGAACAGCAAAAGATGTTTGCTAGATTAAAGATGGGGATGTCTGTATCACTCTGTAAAGGTGGACTGCCGAAGACTAAAGCTGGATCTGCCAAAGGCCTGTCATGGTTTCGTACAACGTGCACTGGGCGAAGAACAACAGGTCTCCTACGTTAAAAGCAGTTGGGTCGTTTTGGGATGTGTGCATGGTTAGTAACAACAGGTCACCATGACTAACTAGTAACCACTCCATGCTTGCTCAACAGAAACACTGTTGAATTTGGATTCAGGACCTGTGTCAGGCTCTGGCCGCTCTGCTGATAGTAGGAGTTTTTTTGAGGGACTGATTCGGTTGGCAGGCGGGTCTGGTTTAAGCTGGTTTATTGCTTGCTAGGCATTGATTATTGGAATTCCTTGAGGAATTAGGTACGACTACTTTTGAGCTTCGTGTGCTTTTGGGAAGTTTTGGTCTTATTTATAAGTGGATGGGACGCTGGACCCGCTTTTTTCCAGCATTAGCCTAAACTGGGTAATGGCCCCAGGCAGCTGTACGGGGTTGAAGCTCGAATTGTAAGGACCCAGGCCTTAATCCACTTCTCTGGAATACAAAGCTCCCGACTTTCCAAAGTTGCGCGGTCTGTCTAGTAAGATTCCTATGATTGAACGATACTTCCATAGGAGAAAAAGAAAAAGAAAAAGAAAAAGAAAAAAACATTTATTATGGTGCGTTATCATACATAGAGAGAAGACAGTAGACTCAACACACTCAGGTTGTCAAAGATCACTCATTGCAAGGACAAGTCAGTGAAGTCACACTCTTAGGGCCCCGTGTATTCAGCACACTCAGCTGTCAAACATCACTCAAGCCTCAAGGACAAATCACGCTTAGGGCCTCGCCGCACCTCTCCCGAAAAGCCGAAAAAGTTGGAGAGTACTCTCGAACTCGGGAATGCCAAAAAAGCCCTGTCGCCAGGGAGTGATCATCGCCACACTCTCTTCTCTCGGACCCGGTTCTCACTACCCTGCTGCTGTGTCCCCACTTAGTGTGAAGAGCTTGTGATTTTGGACTCTGGAGTGCAGAAGCCTTGTCGGCCTCAACTTGCTGTCCAAATTCGGGTTGAAGGGGGCGGTGCGGTGCTTCAAAGCTCTCGGCAAGTCAGGGCCGTTTGCAGGCGGGTGAAGGGTGAAGGGTGAAGCAACGAAGTTTGAGAGTAATCCCGAAGCCCTCCCTCCCTCTGACAGATCTCCAACTTCTGTCGGACTGCTATACCCGAGAGAAACGGTCTCCTCCCCCGAAAATGACGCGCCGAGACTTGCACCAAAGACAGCTGTAATGACCAGCCGTTGTTCTATTCGGGTGAAGACGGTAGTGTGGCGAGGCCCGAGGCCCTCAGAGAAAATCCAGTAGAGAGACTCGAAGAGTAAACGATGTGTAGATATGCAATCGAATCGAGTACACCGGTTTCCACCGTACCTTACACAACCCCAGGTTCCACTAGTCATGCATTGCCAGTACAAAATTGAAAATTCCGCCCCTTTGGACTGCCATAGGACCAAGGATAGGGTAGTAGTCGTCGCCGAGAGTTAGACCTGAGAGGTCGACGCAATAGAACATTCATCTATGTATTTATGCGGTACGACAACGCGTTCACACACTATACTACCTGGCAAGTCCAAAATTATACTCATCGTCGGAGCATTAGCCCTTGCTTGTTTCCGTAGTTTTGCTTTTCTGTTTGTCAATAATAACTGCGATTGCATGGGATAGATCATCCATCCAAGTGGCACTAAGTTAAACTTCACTCCCCGCTGTCACGGAGAAATGAAATGACAATAGCGGACTTTTACTTCCCCCCCAGAAATGGTCTTATTTTTTTTGCTCTTTAAGAAATGATCGAAAATCAAAAAGGGAAGAGGGGGAAAAAGAAGAAAAAGAAAAACACATAGACAGATTAGTGTAGCGGGCGGCCGGGGGGTTGCCTTGAGTCCCTTGACTGTCGTGTGGCATGTGCTATCCATGGAATGCAGAGTCCGTGGGTGGTGCTGTTGGCTGTCTCCCTGGTTTAGGAGGGGCCTAGGTATAGCACTTCATATGATATAGTGGTAGGAGGTAATATACCTGCAGCTGGTCGACGTACAATAACTCAGCTCAAATCTGCATTAGCTGTGGGTATAGGTCGTTACTTCTGGTCAAAGGGTCCTTACTTTGGGTCAAAAGTCGAGACCTAAGCCCTAGTAGAGCCTGGGCAAAGGCCTGACGTCAAGGGGTACCCAGGGCAAGGTCAAAACTGCCCTCCAGAGGCCCTACGTGCAACAGTTGACCCTGGGAAAGTTAAAGGTCAACCCCAACATGGGAATCCAGGCCCAGAAGTCAAAGTCAACCTGCTGGTCAGCCGCGGCCGTAGATCAGATGCACATCATTGGTTGTCTGCAGGTATCCAAAAGAATCTGGGCCAACTGGGAAACGTGTGAAATCTGGCAATCTGCAACTGTACAACATCCAGGCCATTGCCTACCCCACCTGAACTCTACTCTGGTACCAGAAGTGTCCCTGTAACACTCCTGATCTCAAACCCTTGCTTGCCTTTCTTCTCAATGATCCAGGTGGGCGCTTCTGCTCCTCCTGCCTGACTGACCATCTTTAATCCTTCCACCTTCTTCTTCATTTCCTTCCACATTAATTTTCCTCTCATTTCTTACTTTCCTTCTTCCTTCCTTCTTTCTCAGACTCCATCTCCTTTTCCTGCTCACTGATTTTTCCTTCTAACTTGCCAATCTCCTTCTCCAACCTCTTGTGCTCAATTCTCTCTTTTCCCACTTCCTTGTCTTTGTTGCTCAAGGCAACGTTTAATGATACCACCTGCTGCTTCAATTCCTTTTGTTCTTCCTTTACTTTGCTTACCTCGGCGGCTCGGCCTTCATGCTTTTCAACTCCTTTCCTATTTTTTCCACTTGCATATCTCTATTTTTTCCCCTCTTCCTTAATCTCCGGATCTCTTTTAGGGTCTCAAGAATGTGGTTTGCCCCCCCTCGAGTGAGAAGTTTCGTCTTCTCCTTTACCCTATCCTGAAGTTCCCTTATCGGAATTTTCAACCCTCTTGTCTCGTTATCCTTTTTCATTCCTCCTTCTACTATCCCCAACTTCTCAGCCACCTCTGCTTCTCCCTCAAGAAGCCACTCACAGTCCTCTCGAAGCATTTCATGCAATCTGATTAACCTGTTCATATATGATGCTCTGTGTGTCCGATGAACGGAGAATGGGAAAAATTGAACACCGTTATACCCGTTTAACGGGTCCGGGGACCCCCGTTGAATCGCGTTTAACGCAAAAACGGGGGTGTCCCGTTGAAGTTTGGAAAACGGAACTGGCGCGTTGGGCGTTGGACACATGACCCTACGCGCCCAAACATTAAAAACAAGAAGAATTTTTTTTTTTTTGACCCCTGTTAAAAGAGTGGGGTGGCGACAAATGCCCCTCCCTCCCAAAAATCAAACTGCAAGAGAAAACAAAAATTGGGGCTGCCACATCCCCCAGCAGCACATGTGTGTGCATGTGAGTGCAAGTCTTTTTTTTTTTTTTTCCTTACAAATGCTCTAATTTATTCGTCCCGTCTCATTTCCGAAGGGCCCCTACGGATTAGCAAGGACTCCTCGTGGAGCAGAGATGAACATTAGATTTGTAGATTGTCTGTTGGGTCGATAATATATAGTCTGAATTCGAATTCAAGTCTATGGCACTCTGTGCATCACAGTTATGGGTCACTAATTCTCTGTATTCTCATTTTTCTTTTGTTTCTCGTTTTTCTTTTGTTTTCTCGTTTTTCTTTTGTTTTCTCATTTTTCTTTTGTTTTTTTTCGTTTTTCTTTTCCTAGAAATACATGCAGTGGCCCTAAGGGTCTCTACTCACCACATGTTGAAAGGCCTTTCATGATTCAGACCCCAAATTCGAGGTTCAGGGTCAGAGGCCCTGAGTTAGTCAATTTCGGAAACTTTAAGGTCAT